GGCCTTTCTCGATAGCGAATATCCACCGTTTTCTGGGTATTCACATATATTTCTTTTAATGGGTTGACGTAATTGTTTAAAAGTAAACAAAGAACACTTTTCAGAATGAAATTTTGAAACCATTTTACGTTAAAAATAATAAATGTTTGCTATTGGTTCTATAAATTAAATCATGCAAAAATATTAACTTTAAAATGGCAGATATTTCTTATCGTGAGAAAGGCTAATTGTGTCTGTTGTTTCGTTCCTGCCGCTAGTCGCTTTTGCGTTTGAACAAAATGAAGAAGTATAAATAACCAATAGACCTTATGCATAATGACGTAACAAGCCGTGACACCTGCAGGGATGCTGGTCTAAATAGACTATTAAGACCAGAATTCCCTGCAGGCGTCACGGCCTGATACGTCATTATGCATAAGGTCTATTCACTTGGGAGCTTTGTTATCCATACACCGAAGATTCGTGTATCTATACTTTTTAACTTCCAAATTTATCGGATCAGTGGAAACTTGATGTGCGCCTATATAAGTACGTTTTGCTCATTTTAAGTTCACGCGAGGGGGCCAAACGCATGTTTATGCCCAAAAAGCATTACTAAATAGTGTTTATACTTCTTGTATGCTTGTTAAAACGTTAGAAAATCTCAGTGAGATCATTACAAAATTCGTATATCTTTAAATGAAGATAACTGATTAGATTCTATATATTACCTTCTTTATACTTTGGAAGTATTTTACCGTAAGTATTGCCAGTATATATTTGGATCGACATAAACATTCACATGCAGCTGATTTCATAAAATTTTTGACGAAAATATTCTTAACTTCGATAACTCGGTTGTTCAGAAGTTCAAACATTCGTGGCGAAGTTCAGAAGTTCATCATGAAAATACGTTTAAGTACTGCGGTTGGCACATATAGATTTCTAAACCAATCAGAGACTTTGTTTACAAAAGGGATTGTTCAAGATTATCATGAGCTTTTGTAATCAGCCACAATCTGGTGAAACTTCCGAATATATGGTCACAAACGTTTTATAAAGTCAGCCGAAACTCTGTTTAACTGATATTCAATAGAATACTTGGTTCGAAGATTCGGTGAAATTGTATTCACGTACTGCTCGAATTTAGTCAAAATATTACAACTTGCACATTTAGCTGCACAAACCATAAAATACAGCATAGCATATTTAGCTGCAAAAACCTAGTTTATATCGATCGGCTATCATACAAACCATGTATTCTATCGACTATATGGTTTAACAAAACCACTAATATACTGGCATATTGTAATATTTACACATTCCACTTTCGATGGTTTACACAAATGAGATCAGTGTTCACCTCACGCCATTTTAACCAACGCTTGGTTACTTATCGAGGCTTGAGCTTATATATTTTTTGGCTTATGTCCATCGCCGTATGTAGTATAATTTAATACACTAGTAGTACATATAGATTATTTTCAGACAAGTATTTTTCTACATTATTTTAGAACCTAATTTTTGGTTACCATGAATTTATATTTCATACACCTTTCGAATAGCCTTTAGAATATTTCTATATTTTTATTTTTTGGGCATTTTTTAGTATAGCTAAATGTTTTTCACGACATATTATGTCATAGCTAGAAATCTATTACTATAGCATTGGGTTTAGCTGTGCAAATGCATCTAGATACAATTGCAGAAGCAGTACAATCTACAAAAAATGACTGGAAAGACCTCCAGCCCACAATTCGATCAGTTTTCAATTTCAAACTGATGGTTTGAGAGACCACAGGGTACCGTAGGTTATAGGAACCACCTAGCGCTTATCTATCTTATCTGTAATGTGCATTTGCGCGTTATTTCAATGTTTGGATGATATGAAAGCAATACAGATTGTGAGATTAAGTAACATCACCTATACGGTATAGGGATCAGCACCTATCAACACCTTTAGCTGTGTAATCTTTGACTATATATGCAGGTCAGATATATTGTAGTTGATTATAAATATCAACGACGAAATAAACAAGTTGTCTAAAGTAAGAGGATATTAAACTGTAAGCCATGCTACTCTTGGCACGAGCACCGTCACTATTAATTTGTGCTCAACTAGATTTACTCATTAAAATTTATACATGTTGCGAATTTACAGGTACGTTATTCGATTGTGGTGTTAATTTAATTTGCCATAATTAAAAAGAAGGCGGCATGTCGATCTTTAAAACAGTATTTTTCGAAGTGAAGTTAAAGGGAACATATCTCATATTCCACACAAGTGTTGACGTAATGTAGTTTAACATTTCTAACGTAAATGGCTGAAATGGCTGCACAATCGACATGACGCCATGTTTTTTATTACGGCAAACTATAGGAATTGTCATAAGAGTAAATAAAATTAACAACTATATTATGAAATTATTTTATTGTTCTTTGATTACGGTATGTAGCGTAATTTGGGATTGATATATATGATTATTTGTGTACATATATACTATACTGTTTGTAGTTACTTTAAGTGACGTGGGAACAGTTGCATTTGGTAAAAATTCATAAAAAAAAACTTGAATGAAGTTGAACTTATTTAGCGTTTGTAAATTATTACTAGATGAAAAATTATTAATTGATATTGTGTTAAAGTTCCTTAATAATATTATGCTAAAAATACACTGCACTATTATGAGAACCTGATTTGTGTGTGATTTTATCTCTACGATAAATTATGCCCAGCGAGTCTGCCCAAAAAGCTATTGTCTACAGTGAACATCCCCATACAAGAACTGCCTTTCCAGATTTAGTTCCCGTAGTCTTTTTGCCTGTAGTAGCGTGCAGAGTGTTGGGAAAACGGGTCATTACCCCGGGGACCATGCAGGGTCTTAAGGGGCCGGCCCGGGCACATGTATTTTGTTTAGGGAACTGAAACAAATTAACTGAAAATAAATTTACAATTACAGTGACAGCTAATTCCAAACTGACAGAAACTATATATTCAATTATATTATATAGAGTAAAAGCTAACATTCACTCTGACAGTACGCTAATTGCTCCTTGACGGTTAATCAATGCTGAGCTTCTGCGATGGTTCACGTTTACCTTTAACACAACTATGGCCCGTCAATTCAATTCACTATATACAGTCAATTTAATGGCAGGCTAAAATTGGTGCCCGTAGAGGTAGCAAATTCTATCAGCCCTCAGGATACCATTACAACGGCCAGGCGCCAGATGAAATGGGCTTCTTAGTTTATAGTTTAGGATTGTCATTTTACATTGGACTGAAGAAAAAGCATGAAGAAAGAACAAGTGACTCGACCAGGTGAGTATAGTGTACTAGCTTGTTTGTTGCAAAAAAGGTATTTCGAACTAAAAATCTTTTAGATTACTACAAGTGAAGTGACCTATACGCACGTAGCCTATATGGAAGGTGCATCCTCACAAAAATAAAATATTGCGACCATTGAGTAAAGGCTTTCTGTGCGAGACTCGGTTGGAACGCCAGAAAAAATATAAAGAATACAAAAATGATTCAACGACTCGCTTAATTTCCCTTATAACAATTAAGGTGATAATTTATGTTTGTCAGGATGAACCACACACTTTGAAGAAGAATATATTATGCACATACCGTAAGGACTAAGGCGTAACCGCACCAAATTTGGAAATTCAATATGGCGGATAACATTATAGTTGTAATGGAATGGAAGGCTCGGTTGGAATGCACCAAAAAAAAATATAAATAATACAAAAATGATTCAACAACTCGCTTAATTCCCCTTATAACAATTAAGGTAACAACTTATGTTGGTCAGGAGTTACCACGCACCTTTGAACAAAAATATAATTATGCACATACCGTAAGGGCAGGCATAACCGTACCAAATTTGGAAATTCAATATGGCGGATGACATTATAGTTGACACGAGAAATATAAAATGTTGTACGCACAGAGAAATGCAATACTACAGCCTGCTTCTCAGTGTCTAAAATTAGGAGAAATAGAAAGAAATATACCTCACCTCGAATTCTGATGGGAATTGCGATATGATCTGCCGGGAATCAATGTGAAACGAGTTGCTTGAACCAGAAAATTTCCCAAGTTGACGGCCGAATAATCGAATACTCGTCTCAATTGCATGTCAGACTTTACAGTCTATTAACTGATGTGCTGCTTATGACATGTTATTAACGTCCAGTTTTATTAGATCTTATACTAACGAAGCATATTCGAATATTTCACCTGGACGATTACGCGTAATAAACGTATATTCGTATAAACCAAACTTATTCAAGCCACAATTGCCAGATTTGTGAATTTTGAAGGCCAATCTCTCACGCTGGTCCAACTTAGCTAAGTTTCTCCCACTCGTGCAGGCTCATATTGTCAGCGGACAACTTACATAAAATTGAGAGCAAGGCGTAAAACGAAAAGCTTTAATTTTTTATGCGAAGACCGCTGAAAAACTGAGCCCTCTTTACCGGGAGAAAATTTGCCGAATATGACCAACGTGTCTGCTACAATGGCCCTTTGTTCTCTTTGTCTTGCCTTTTGTTTTCTTATACTAATGACAATTTGCCCTCAAATATTCACAAATCTGGCAACCGTAAACGCATATAATGAAAGCAATGACCTCAGGACAGTAAACTCTATAAACCCTGGATTGGAACGATATCTGATTGGTATATTTGAAGCAAGTCTTGGCCCCCATCTTTCAAGCAAATTTGAAGTCGCAATGGGTACCAGTGGCAGCCCCTTTCTACATCGTTGACTGTGAAGGGATTGGCACTGGTACCCCTTTCGGTTCAAATTGGCTTCAAAGATGGCGGCCGATTTATCGTTTCAGTTGACACTGACTCAGGGTTGAAAACGAATCAAGAATAAAATTCGCGTATTTAAGATTTACTGAACATACACATCCCTGTTGGCTTTCGACATGGAGCTGGGGGGGGGGGGCGTCTGCTCATAAACTTTGAAATATCCAAAATGATTAAATCAATGTGCAAAACATGCACCAAAACATATTATTTCCATTATGACTTACAATCTTCACATATATCATTTAATATATGTTTAAACTCTAAACAACAAAGTTAGCGCTTGTTTGTGAATGTATCTTTAAATAACTAAAAATAGCAACAAATCTTTCTTCGGTTTACAATGTCCAGAGAAATGTCAAATGTGCGTTTCCACTACATGCCACAAACATCTGTATCTGCATGCTATCTTTAGTCCGATTCCAGCCTATTAATATCATCCTGAAATAAAAAAAAAGATTTAGTCCCCGAAGTAACTCCCTTCGAGGTAAAAGGTAGGAGCAATTTAATCGAAAATGTCGAAGAACCATCATCTGCACGATTCATCAAAAAATATATAAATCATCTTTTATAACGGTGCGGTTAGTAACGCATGGTTGAACAAATAAAAGGTTTACTCTTTTATCGAAATTATTCAGCTCCAATTAACACCACACCACACCACATTACACCACACTACACCACACCTAACTATGTTTTATATAGTAACTGCTTTTAAAGTATTAAAATGTACACATCGTACCTGGGATGCAAGTTGAAAAAAAACGAGATATAAACAACTCTGTGGACTAAAAAATTGGTAAACATGTAAATATGATAAACTAACCATTCTGTATTGCAGCAATGCTTGAGTCAATGCATTTGAAACTTGAAGAGCAACAGATGCGTCATCGTCATTTTTTACAAGTTTAGTCTGTTAAAATAATGAAAATTAATGTAAATGAACAGGAAGCCCATCTTGAAAGGAAAAAAAGATAAGATTATTTAGAGATTTATGTTTTATGCACAGAATAGAATAAATAAAAATCGTCCTTTACTGAGTTAAATAACTTTATGCAATTTGATTGGGCGAGATACAAATTTATACAACTGAATAGCGAGTGCATTAAAGAATGCCTGCATATACTCTTACCAAATCTCCAAAGGCGCTTGCTAAACCGGACGATAACGAACTCTATATAATAATAAGACCTTTTACACTCTTAAAATAATATACTCGTAATACTTAAATTTCGATAAAACAAGTCTGTCACTGAAAAGAAAGTTTCTGCATGTCATGTATATATAGCTATATAAAAGTGTATAAAAGCATGCAGGAATAGCATGTGGTATACGTGCTAATGACGTGGCCAGGATATATATTACACTACCAGAGTTGCATTACTTTGCATCATGCTACATCTGATAGACCTCGGCCATGACTAGGTAACGAAGAAAGATTTCTTTGAAAGAAATTATTCTGACCTTCGGCGAAATATTTGTTTCCACTCTTCGCGGAGTTTGTTCAGGTGGTTGATGCGGTGCAGAATATCCCCTGCTGAACATTGGAGGTTGACTCTCAGTGTATGCCTCCTCAAAGCTAGAACTATATTAATTAAATGCATATTTAAAACGAGCTAATAAATAAAAAAATCAATGCAAAATTGAAATATAACGATTGTAAAATATAAAATGACATGATATAAAATTGAATACAACGATTTTGAATGGAACACAAACAAAAGCATTCAGATTCAGAGATTCAGTGAAATTGTAATCCGTTTGGTTCAAGGTAACCCTCATTATTACCAGCATTTTTATATAATATGCAACGTTTTCTTGGCGAATCCGCCATTGTGAAAAGCGATAATAACACATGTGGGAATGTTCGTGTTTGACTCACCAATCAGGAATCACGAATACGCGCCCAGGGGGGTGAAAAAATTTCCAAAAAACTGTTTTTTATTACATAATAAAAACAGAAATACATGCATGCTTGAAAATATGGAATTTATTTCTCGTGTTAAGAATATACAATTACTTAATGGTTTCCGTGTTTGGATGGCCTGATCCAAACACGCGGGAATGTTGCATGGGAGAGAAACACGAGCCGAAAATTGTTTTATAAAATAACAACGACAAGGCCTGGGTTTAAATTTAAATTCTTTAAAACTTTTAATTTCCGTGTTTGGATGGCCTGATCCAAATACGGGCTTCGACCAATCAGAACACGCGTTATATACACGTTATTTTATAATGATACCTCACTCGTTCGCTGCGCGCTCACTCGTTCAATATACTATTCTCAACATGCACTCGAAATAAATTCCATATTTCCGCGCATCCATGTATTATTCTCTATGTCTTAAACTGCAATGTTTAGTTACCACCGGTAGATATTTGTATGCACATGCTATTAATGCAACTAACCTTTGCGGAAAGCTTGTGTTGAAGTTAGGATCATTATTATAACTTGCATTATATGGCATGTTATAATTTAAGGGCTCTTGAGGAAAATAACCATATCCATAGTCCAACGAGTTATTCATGCCAAAAGAGCCGCCTTGAGGGGGGTGAGGATTGTATTGTTCCAAATTATATCCTCTGCCCCTGGGGTTTGATGTTCCTCTCCTATTCAATGAACCTCGTTGTGAATAAACAATTCCTCTTCCTCTGCGTATACCCACGGCTCCACCACGCCTGCCGCTTTGGCCCCACAACTGAGCGTGTTCTACAAATAGGAAAGTTTAAGGTTGATTTCAACACAAAATGGAAAATATGGGATGCACTGCAGGGTGCGGCGAGGATTGGCTACCCGTGAAAGGTTTCTGTCAAAGGTATGAAATTTTCCTTTCGGAATTAACACGCGAAAGTCGAAACAGGTGTTACGAAAAATATAGGTCTGCGTGGGTCGTTGTGCATATGTGGAAACAACACTAACCTGTGGGTGAGCGAACCCCTGGGGGCGGCTTCTCAACCCTGACTTTAACTTCCTGGCGTCCTTCTGCTAGTTCCAAATTTAAGGATTCTTTTAACAATGCAGCGGTGAGCTCAGAACGTTTCATTGTGGTCGGTTGCAATTCTTTTACAAAACCAGGCCGCTTGATTTTCTAGATAAACAACACACAGCATTGATACGATTCGCAGACACCGATGCATATCAAAACGACAGACGTATATATTAACCGGGCCCTAATTGATTGAACATCTTCAGGGGCTGGTTGTATAAAACTCTTACCGTCGACGTTTTAAACTTGCATGCTTTTTCACTTTTGCCTCTGGCAGTTTACCAAATAAAATTCAAGGTGTAAATGATTTTATTAAATCCTAAAAACACGTCAGTGCATGGGAATAGTAATATTCAAACCCACTAATCCGGTTGTAGCTATACAACTGAAAAGATTAATTTTGACCCTGCTATTGAACGACTCGTGCAATTTCTTAAAACCTTAACCGACGTGTGTCAGTTAGGGCATTATATTTATGTAACTTTAACAAAGTTCACAACAATTTTGTCGTTTAATTTAAATACCCCGCAAAAAACGTCTGAGCTCCTGCATGCATTGGATACATGCATAGCAGTATCGCGATCCAACTGTGATTTGCGACCAGTGAGTATTAGTAGGGCAACTTGCTGCACATGCACATGTTTATACAAGTAATGACCTGCAGAATGTACAAGGGTATCAGAACGACCATTTAACAAGTCTGACGATTCCACAAAAATTTTTACAACTTGTCAATAGGGTGCGCTGTACTTGTGGTCAGCTTGAAACAAATACAGCATAATCAAAGCTACATTTTTGACAGACAAATTGCAGATCTGATTAATTTTCGAACGCTATGGCACAAGTCTTTTACAAGACCAGTGCAAATATTAGTTGCAACAAGTTTACCAAGGTCATATATTCAATATGACGGTAAACAACCTCTCGCTTTTCAACAAAAGCTCGAGGTGAAATACAATGTTAGAACTTACCAAGACATTCGTACGATGTTTTTGGCCAACCAAGTGAGGAAACTTGAGATCATGTTCAAATTTCGCATCACATAGAGAGCATTCATAGCGTGGATTTTGTCCAGCCACCTGGACTTCTGTCACGTATTCCAGCCCTGCGTGTGGGTGGTCGAAGTATATATAGCACAGGTTACAGTATATGCAAGTAAAACATGCACAAACACTTCAATTTATATCTCAAGCCAGATAAAAAATTGAATATGTTCGTGACAATCATTGAGATGCAGTATATTCATTGCTACCACAACCAAGGAAAAACTTTGGTCTTGGTAGTAAAAAAGAGTTTTACCGTAGCCGTTCATTGTTTTCAATAAACTAATAGCCGAAAAACCAAATTCGATTAAAGTCGATTAGTAATTTGGATAATGAACTAAGTATTGCATGCAGCTATTCTGCACACCAAACTTTGATTAGTACAGTGCGTCAAAGCCAGAAGTGTCAAAAGGTTTCAGCCAGACACTACCCATCGTTTAAAGCACTGTAAACCATATACTGTTACTGTACAGTATAAAATGTTTGGTTAGGCAGTACAGCTTAGATAAACACAGTAATATCAGTGTACAGGTTTAGTTTTTCATATTTTACGTTATTCAGTTCAATAGATTGCAGTACTACGTGTACTATTTTTAAAATGACATACGTTGTTCAAATCACTCTGCATGCACGTTGGAAATGACCATAGCGCATTTTCATCCAACATGTAGTTTACACGAACTTGTCATGTAGACTACATGTATGGAGTTGTGAAAATGTACGGGGATAATTGCTTTTAAATAATGCTGTATGAATTGCTAAATTTAAAAAACGTAAATACACGGTATATGAATAAGTATGATGACATATTACACTACCTATCAAAGGCTGCGGATAATTGGCAAAAATCTGTGAGCCAATTGCTTTGTCTTTCACAGATTTCTCAGGCCTGTCATAGAGCTTCATATTTTGCGTATTGGGAAACCGGCTGCTTTTCAATTTTCCCCCTAAAATTTAAAATTTGGGCACAAAAAATTAAAAATGAGAAGTTTCTCATTATGACACATGTCAACAGAAAATGAAGGATTATGTAGCTTCCGAACGACCGTGAAGTTTCGAACCCTCGGGGGTATTGGGCTATTTTTAGCCATTACAAAATGTGCCACATCAAATTGTTACGAAGTAGTATCTGTCTGCGTCCCTATCCCTCACGTTCCTTCTTAAATCCTTAGAAATTGAAGTCAAATGAACTAGGATGAATGTACAAGCTAATACCTCCGGCAGATTTTTCGAAGCCCATAGCTTTCAGTTGTAATGCCTAACACAAGAAATATGAAGAACATACATTTAAATGTAACAAAAAACCAAAAAGATTAGCCATAATGAGCATTGCATCATTGCTATCATTTTACATCTTGAAAATCTTATATGCTTAAAGCGAAATTGGTAATATTGAATCAAATGCTAAAACTAGCACGATATTTATATATACATTTCAGTTTCAAAAAAATTTTCTTGATGCATTTAATTCGGTACTACAGTACCTAAAGATTGTAAAACAAACCTACCTTTCTATGTTTTGTTCCCAACATGTGTGCATTAAAAGACTGATGTCCACAGCAAGTGATTGAACATATCTTATGAAAATTAGAGTTTAAATAAATAAGTTGATACATATACACGTGAATAAAAAATTAAATAAATAAAATAATTTGCTAGAAAAAAAATTACAGCTATATTGACAAAGTGGCAGGAGAAAAGAGAGAGTTCAAAGTGAAGGAGAATTTCATAATCAATATTACATTCAACTAACTTTGGATTTAACCACTTTATCTAAATATCTATGCTAACAGTACTTGATCAAACTTAGGCATAAAGTATGGTAGATTGCTGGGGGGCTAGATCCTCCTGAGCCTCACTGTAACCATGTGTCAGAGTTTTATGAAAAATTGACTTTAATCTGCACACATTACTTTACATACATTATAATTGCACTCTTAGAGATCATAAATTAAATTCGTTAGTTCCTCAGGAAAAAATTTGTAAATATTCCCTAAGATGATGTAGAAAATTTTCTCTACCTCGAATTCGAACTGATCGGTATAAGAACTCCTTCATAATCGCTAACAGTCTCGAACAATAGCCTAATTTGTTATAATTGTAAGATAATTATATATTAGATTTAGTTAAACTTATGGATGTATATACCTTTAGGTGTCTTTTATGTACATCGTATATAATTCAGTTTTTACTAACTGCAAATTACGATTATTAAATTCAATCAATCAATTCAATCAATCAATCAATCACTCTTCTTCTCCTATAAAAAAGTATAGTACATACAGCATTGTGTGCATTTTATCTTTTTTCTTCCAAGATGTACTGTACAGGTATATAAGGTATATAAGATCTAGCAGTTTACATTGTACTATTTTTCCTGTCAATACCAGTATCACTGAAGACACTAACATATTCTTTTCCTTCAAAAATCTGGAATTTGATTCAAGTTACCCAAACAATAAACGGAAATAGATATTGAAAAGACAAACTTTGTAGTTTTTTACTTGCCAAGGTTTTTATCAAAGCATTTATGAAGCCGTTAAACATTTGGGTGCTCTAATCAATTCTACTCTATTATAAGTATAATAACAATTAACTTGCACAATAAATAGAAGTACATTTGAGCTGTCAAAAATAATGCAGTCTAAATCTGTTTGTATAACTTCAGAATTGCATGCATATTTGACAAATTTTATCCAAATTAGTATAACTTTTCGAAAAGTGGTAATGTTTTTTTGTGCATAATACTGGCTTATACAAAATTTGCTAATTTCACACAGCAATAGTTTTCATACTTTACAACATTTTGCAAACCTTTCTGATTTTACTAATTTTGGGATTCTCCTTCCAGCTGTACATGTACATTAAGAGACTAAGACCCAACTAATTTTCCTAGTTCAATATTTATTTTAATAGGAGATGGTCTATTGACCTTGATACATACACCAATTCGAAAATTTGTATGTTCTATAAAATTTAATTAAATTAAGAAACTGAATAATAATTAACAGATGATAAATTAATTGAAAACAATAATGATATAGATTTAGACAGCATTTTTTTAGACAGCTCTAATAAACTTGTGTTTATTTTACTAGGTAATTATTATTTATTATTTTTTATTAATATATTATTATGTTAGTGTCTTCAACAAATTATTGAAATTCTGTTGACATACTAAGTAAAGAAAGTGAGGACCAAGTACTCATCCTTGTTGTAATCCAAAAGTAGTATCTTCAAATTTTGAGTTTTGAATTTTGAGCACATTAGCTGCTGTAGATACCGGTATTATATTTCTTCATATAACATATTAAAAAGAAGAGCACAACGAAAATAAATGCTTTTCAACTTTTCATAAAACTCTGAAACATGACTGACTGGTCACAGTGAGGCCAGAGAGGTGCAGACTCCCAGCAAACTTTTTGCAATATGACCAAAATACTCACATCACATTCATAAGTGAAAGGATGATCCTTTGACAACTTTATATTATAAGCTTCAGCCACTTTTTTGATATGATGAATTTTGTAGACATGTTTTGCAAATTCCTAAGGTTAAGAATATGGTTCAATGCAGTTTTAAGACATATATATGTATGCAAGCTACATAGATCACATCACTTCTATAATACGACTTCACTCTCCATGCAAAACATTTAAAAAATCAAGTTAAGCTAGTACTAATTCTTCCTTCATATTAATCTATGACCTCAACATAAGGATTCTATTGCAATGGAAATCATCAGGTTATAAACTTGTACAAAATGCAGCGATGGAATTTCTTTCTAACATAGGCGTAAGGGCCTAGAAATTTTGGGGGGCCGGATAGTCTGCCCGATGAGCGCCGAAGACCGAGAAAAACAAGGATGGTCTACCTAGTGCATAAAGGACATGATTTCCTTCCCCAACTTCGATTAAATCTCGGATTAAATTATGTACAGTTGCTATAAAAGTTAGCAAAGTTACAAACTTACAAAATGATAGAAGTGTTTCGTAACTACATTGTGAGTTTTGCTGCGCCAATTAGTTGTGGCACATAGGGTAGTCAGTGGCACATACGGAAAAGCCTGTTTATTTCAATTATTTTTGTTTCGTTTAATTCGGGTTTACGCAAGCTGCAAGCATGTATATTCTACCATATTTGAGCATTCTTAAATATTTTTATGTAGTGTGGAGACCAAATCACTTAAGTACAAATTGCCCGACTCGTAAATACAAATTGCCAGACTAATTAATATTTCTGGCTAAACTGGGGGCCCCCCCCCTCGTACGCCTATGCTTTCTAAAGTTCATTTTAATTGCCTGAATCCTGGAAACAGGTTTAAAATTGATAAAAATGTGCAAATGTTGAGAAGTGTTTTTGTCTATTTTAAGCAGTTGTTATACCACATTTGATGCTAAGTTAAATGTCATAAGTCAAATGATCTTTAATCAAGATGTAAGTGTTATTCTCATTACTAAGAGAATAAACAAGGGAAGAGTCATGGAATTTAGACTTACATATTGCTGCATTCTTTGGGGAAAACTGTTTATTATCTCAACATTGTATGTATATATTAGTAGTTAATTTTTGTTTGTTTGGGAAAGTGTTATATTCATCAATGCCAGGGCTCATTGACAAGAGATTTACAAGGGGATCATCAAATTCCTCACCATAACAGTGGCCTTGGTTACAATTAATGGACTGGTACAGAGAAGTTAACTAGTTTAAACTGAGGAGTTAATAAACTGGGATGATCTGTGCACTGCAAAATTCTTTAAACTTGAGTCATTGACTTAAGTTAAATATCAAATTTAGAAGGTTGAGCAAAGTTTCAAAACTACCGACACAGTATCTTTCTCTCCCTTAAAGTTACCTTAGTTACAAATACGTTGATTTCCGGAAAACTATCTTATGTAATTGCTTCATATTATTGTGTGTAAGCATCAAGCAAGAGTCGATTGTATCTTAATTTTTGTGAATCAATCAATTGTAATCAACATACAAAAAGTGACAAGTTATTATACTTACCGGCCAATCTTTGGCTTTGAACTCGCAGTATTTACATTCCCTCATTTCTTCCTCGGTTTTTGGTCGTCGCCCTGGACCTTCACTATCCTCATTGCTAACGGAGGGATCAGACCCCACAACAACAAAATTTTCCAAGTCTCTTTCGAGCACGTTGCCTTCTTGAAGAGTGACTGGATTTTCGGATGCATGATCGTTGATTCCTGAAATGGCAGACGCTTGTGTATGTTCATCGCCCATTTTTTTTCAATAAATGTTATCGCTAAGAATCTTATGTCTTGTCTAAACAATCCTACGAAGGAAAATAAAGTTGACTTTCTGTTTGGAGACTTATTGTGGTGTGCGTTGTGAGTCACAACTTAGAGTTTGGTAAAACTCGTACCCAGAACCCAGGGTCTTTATCCGCTTCCACGCATGCGCCCTTGATTTGTGTCTAAAGGTAAACTGCTGGTAAACTGTAAAAGCAAGGTATTAGTTGATTGGTTGTTGTACATGCTTCGTCTTGGTTTCAGAGAGATGTTTTCTTTTATCGTCGTAGACGGTAGACCTGCCTCGTTCCCGGCGCGTGTTTTTGTTTTATATTAATTTAGCATCATACAGCATTACGTTTTTGAAGCCACCGAAAAGAAATAGGAGGATGGGAGGTACTTCTGCCAACTATAGCTACCAAAATTTAAACCATGTCTTTCACATATTGGACAATCATTGCTCAAAAATTGGGTAGTTAGCAGTTACTAATAGGTTTCCTCGGCAAAATTCCGGCCTCAACTTTTTCGCACGTCTGAGCCTTTGATTGAAGGCGTCCAAACATCTTCTTCTCAATTCTCATGCATGATGCATCTACTGCATTAAGCTTAGTGCAGCTGGATATAATATTCTATCATTTCTATCATTCTATATCTCTTGAAATGTCAAGAGAATTAACCTATTCGTGAGAATAGATAACGCCAATAGGACGGTACTATTTAATAAGTTAATACTCCTATTCTACTCAAAATCAAACGAGTGATTACAAATTAATATAAAACCTAATTTAGAGAACCTCATTAAAATCTTAAAGAATTAAAACTTGGCTTACCTATTCCGCTTGTTAAAAAACATTTGGACAAGCATGACACCGCAGAAATAAAAATACCACTGTACACAATATGTCAAAACAAGTTTTAATTTCCTTCTGAAAAGTTCTCGATCTGCAATCTTTTGAAAGCTTATCAAAAAGATCTGGCAGCTTTGTAATGGCAATTTAGCAATTGACTTTTTTACAATTTAACAAAACAATTTTTAACAAAACATTGTAACAAGGGATCAATACGACTGTGCATGCGAAAAAATAATTGATTGACCTAAAGTTCAGCCATTATAAATAGCGTTCGCGTGTTTTTTGTCTAGAATTGTAGCTAGGTTTATACACAAGATTATTAATTCAGACAATTTGTTTTTACCGTGTGCAAGTTTCAAACTGCAAAACATATTTCGGAGCATTTATAATACTTTCACCCACCAAATTTGACGTCCAAGTTAGAACTATATAGCTAAGTCCAATTTACGCAGCCGCCAGCAAGCATTATTCATCCATTTGTTGACCACTTGATGTTTAATTTATGTTTAACTTTTTTTATCATTTCAGACTTCGTAATCACCGTTTAGTCAGTTGGATGCATTGAAAAAACGGATCGCATCTTGACGACCAGCACTTCTGTTCAATGTTTTCGCTGCGAAGTGAACTGTAACTTAATTGTTTGAAATCTATATTTTCGACTATTAATGCATGTTCAAAATACATTTGGCCAGAAAAAGTGTAAAATACAGCTCGTTTACTAATGAAGAAAGTGACGAATAATTACCTGCACTGCCCGACTAATAAGATTGCATGCATTTTGACTGATTACCGGAAGGTGTTACAAAATTTTATTGATGAAAAGGGTGTGAAAGCTCCATGTTTTTGTACTTTTGTTATTCTATATGTTAATCAGTGTAGGCAATATATTAAAATTTTCCCAAAGTCGTGCAAATTCATTTATATATCAGCGAACTGCAGCACGTGCAGGGACATTCACACACGTAGCTACGTTCTTGATAAAATCACCATTAAATCAGACGGGACATTCAGAGTGGAAGACAGAGGAAGAAACTCGCGCTGAGGACTAAGCTAGCGTTATTGTTCAAGCATATTAAAACAGTAAACGGAAAGTGCCGTAAAAGCCAGCTTTATTCATTCGGCAATCTGTAGTCTGTACAAATAGAATATCTTTAGTGCAACTATATTAATGATATTAAATCATTCTCTTAATCATCGTAGACTACTCATATTCTGTCGCATTATTACAACATTTTCTTTGTGCAAAATCATATCAAGAAATTAAATCAATTTCATGGAACCAGCGCTTGTGTGTTCAAACACGTACTAGTCAACAGCTTCACAGATCACAATTATCGTTTTCATGACTCACATTTCGCGTCACTCGTTAGACAATTTTTCATTTCCTCTTCCTCGACAACTTTCAACATGTCCTCCAAAGCCGTTCGCAAATCCGATTCGTTCTGACTGTCGGAGAGATCGGGCAACGAAAGATACTGATCGGCTTCATCATGAAGTTCAAAGTTCACGTGAGGGGAAGCCTTTTCGCTAAGATTGCTACGGCTAACGTCAGTCGCGGCGGGTTCACACGCGCTCTCGACGGACTTAATGGCTTCCTTTTCCTCCAACACACAGCCCGGTCGCGATCCCTTTCTAAGCTCTCGGACGCTTTGAAAATGCTGCTCTCGCACAGCGCTGTATATCGCCAGTCCAATCTCTTTGAGTGCCTCGTCCGTTTCACACAAGACAACGAAACACTCCATTTTCGGCGGTGTTTTATCCATATGATGATTAAACGCAAGTAGCTGAACATTCGATTTCATAACCGTGCCGTAGGATAGCTTGCGTATCGGTATAACCTTCTCTTCCGACTTTTTTTGTTTCTCCTTCAAGTGAAGTCCATCTTGCAATATCTGTACGGTAACCTTTGGTAGTGATCGTTCCTTGCCCTTCACTATAATATCACCGATCAAATGTCGAATGGCCTCGCGGATTCGCTTCATGTCTGGCTCCACGAGCATCGTACTGCCGAAATATCGGACTTCGAAACTTCGCTGCTCCGTAATCTTCTTCACGCCACATTCTAAACCGAGTTTTCGCTTGATCATCCTTTCTTCGTCCGCGTTCCCCTCTTCCTACCAAAACAATCGCGAATGTTATTATTGTTGTTATTGTTACTCTGTAGACCGCGTATTTACCTCGCGCCCGTAATATAAGCGCAGCCCCAAATGGAATCAATTTCCATGGCGAGTACGCATGTTTGGCGAATTGCTGTACGTTTATTGGCAGGCGTCGATAAATAGCATTGTCCAGCTGCCGCGGCACCTGCTCTGTCTAAAGTCAAATTAATTTGACGCCAAAACTAAATAGGCAAGACAAGGATGGGGAAAAGCCGATAAAAGTAGAACTGAAATGATCACGGAATTATAATGTTATAACACCGTTTAGCCCGCGATGATGACATGCTAAAAATATTCATGCTGATGAATGTGTATACGAGCACTTAAATCAATTTCCTGTGCGTAAAATTTTGTTTTGTTGAAAAGCAATAATAAATATTGAAATATATGAGTTGATATATATGAGCACGATTATTTCTAAGTTGTGCGCGTTGTGATTGGATGGCTATTTGCGGCTTTGTATGTACTCGAAAGGGGGCGTATTCTTAAGAGCACTTGGGAAAGAGGTTTCATTGCCTTTGGCTGTCCACTTCCTAAATCCTAAGCGCCTGTCAGGCTTCCAGGTCCTTTTCCCTTTTGTAATATCCCAAAATCCAAATTACTGAAATCAGGGTGAATTTCGTCTAGAAATACTTAGGGTTATTTTCACTGAGTAGTACTTCCAACATTCAAGTAATTATTTATGGCAGGAGCTATTATGGGACATGTCGCAGCTCTCGGAAGCTTTCGTCCAATTGGATAATGTTTTTGATAATTGGATAAGCTATGCTATTAGTTGAAACAGAAATGTATTGTAAAGTTTAGACAATGAAAATCATTCTTGCGAGGGGCTGCGACACTACCCGGGGCTATTATGCGTACGAGTATATATTCTTATTTTAAATTTTCTTGTCATTGTGCATATGGATGGTGGCAAGGTTATACTTTCTCGTTATCGAAACTTTGGGGGGAAGGGGCTCATAATAAATTCCTCCCCAGCTCGGAGAAATTACAAATTCGAAGGGAAGATACAGCTTTTTGATTGCGACAGCCGACAGGGAGTCTGAAAAAAGCACTTGTCAATGCCTATTGTTTAAAATGAGCTAGCAGGAAAGAACTCTCGAAATGCTGCTCACCATCACATGGTTTCATTTTGCAGAAACGTTTTGCCCAGAAGGCTTCGCTGCATGAGCTTTTCAAGAAAAAAATGAGAGATCACGGAGCATTCTAGGATTGTTTGGAATAACAAAATACATATTGACAGGCGTCAAATATACTTTTATAGGTACCTACTGTCAACTTTTTACACGATTGAAAAATGTCTTAATGTCTTAATTTTACATTAAAAAAAAATTCCAAACGTGATATCGTTACACATTTCTTGTCGCGGGGACAAGGAATTACGCGAATAAACCGGCTAGATCTCTTGAAAGCAGTAATTTACTAGAAGTCGATAGATACCACAAAATTAAGTGTAGTACCACAAAACTGTCCAGAAATGTAAAAATATTAAAGCTACTGCTCGCAAACTTGTCGCATTTATACTGAAAGGCCTCCAAATTCGATCAAGACTACTTCTGTGTGTTGCAAGCTGGATGGTTCGGGTCTGAATTGCCTCATTACCCGCACAGTATTCGGGTTCGCTCTAATAGGACACATGTTCCCAGGTTTTATTTTCGCCCGCAAGTCTTTATTTCACAATTCACGTGCACGTGTGAATGGCTTTATATGCCGTGTCATGTATAATATCAAGCCATATTCCCAATTCGTGTGTCAAGTTAGTATACAGCCAATATAAAGAGGAGACATATTGACCAGGGGCCGGTTGTATGAAAGCCGGATAGCGCTATCCACCGGATAGTGATTTTTTGAACCGTTCTAAAAATGCTCGAAAAGCGATAAAATTTCATTTTTGGAGCCAGCAATTTTTAAAGAGGATACTCGATTTAGGAATACTAAGATTTAATCAAAGTTATAGCAAACAACGGGCGATTTTTAAGCGATTGAAAAAACCACTATCCGGTGGATAGCGCTATCCGGCTTTCATACAACCGGCCCCAGGACAAAAGTCGCTGCATGAAGTTAAGTGTGCCGTTTATCTTTCGATTGTACATCATGGCGATATTTCCTCTTAAATAAAATTATATAGGCGAACTGTGGGAATGAATCTTAAATTTAAATTCGTTGTCAATCTGTAGCAGCACAAGTGAGTACATGGACATGGTTATTAGCTTGATGTTTCGCTTTTATGCATAGTTCATACCGTTCATTCATTTAGACTTTTCAATTCATATTCATTTCCTTTCGGTTTAAAAACAATCGGGCATTATCTTTCTTACCATTATCATATTTGCATAACTATTTAATTAAATGATAATTGTTAGCATCTTTAGAAAATACAACAGAATGAAACCATTTAAAATTATGCGTACGACAGCTAGACGATGTCACTTGGCTGAGCTCACCACGACCTCGATAATAAAAGAGACTGCCCTGCCCCTATGCTCTTGTGTGGGAAAAGCTTCGCATTGGACTACCTCTGTTTTTGCTGTATAATGTAAATTATTACGATACACAGCTGCTGTATTACAGGCGACATTTTAAATTAAGATGTGTTTTTCAAGGCAATAGGCAATACTATATATAATTTAGTTGTATTCACTACAATAAATATTTGGCGAACTTACTCCTTACGTTATTAAAGCTATATTAATGCTCGGCCTTGGACTCAGTATATTTTACCGTGCAGCCTGATTTGATAACAACAACATGCTCAGCTTCTATCCCACCGCAAAAAATAGTAGCTTCGACAACTGTATTCATGCACTCAAGACTATCTATTCCGCTCAATGAGCTGTACTGCACTGGCAAGTATATAATGCTGCCTCCCAGTTCAATATAAAAGGATATAGTGCTGACGAACACAATTATCACCCACAAAATTAAATTACAACTTTGTTTGTGCCGTTTAGACTTTATGCAACTTCAATCATTTCATGATTAGAAATAAATGTGTTCAGCACTTGAACTCGCAACCCTAATTACCAGCCCTTGTATTCATATTTATATAAGTGCTACATGAGTTGCACGGCGGATCGTCATAAATCGTGTAGACGCCTTTAGAGAGGTTAGCAAGAATTGTTATTGATTTCCTCATGCATGGCATTATCTTTAATGATTCCTGCAAAAATTTCTCGATAATGATTCTCAAGTACTGAAATCATAGATTTAATACCAAGACATATTTTTTTTGCATTAAGATAAACGGTAGCTGTAGAGTGACACATTAATGTTTGTAACATATGGGGGAAAATAAGCAAACGCGAGTTTGTCAAATTGTCTGGTGAAAATCACATGCCATGCATGTAGGTTGTTCGTACATTGGTTTACTTTATTTCCCAGCACTCCTTTGGCGCTCGTAAATTTTAATTTCACTTTTCGCTTTGCGTAGTAGTATGTTTGGGATTGAATTACCGATGAACCGTCCCGATTTGAAAATCATGTCATTGCACGATATATGTGAAAAAAACATTGCGCTCACAAAAAGGATGCGCATTTGTAACCTTTTGCAATGGAAATACCGGCAAATACCGCTTACTGCTTTTCTACTTGCATTTTATCAAAGAATTTGCTGCGACAAAACTATTGACTTATTAGAGACGGGTCCCTACATAAACCTTCGGACTCGGAAACCTTCGGGTGTATATGAGAAAAGAATGTTTGTAAAACAATCTGGTTAGCCAAAAGTAGGGGTTTAATGACAGGCACCACGATTTTGCCTAAATATTAGCCGACTTAAAAGCATTCAAATTTCACCCACATTCTGCAATTAATGCTAAATGAATTAAAATGTGTTTGTTGGTGGATGTTTATACCCTCTGTGCATGAACCCACGTAAAATGCACATAGCTATGGTAATCCTTTTGGTTAAACTAAATCCCTGATTTATATTTGAGGTCAGTAAGTAAAAAGAAATTATGCATCTGTAGAAGTTGGTTCAATATTTATTATTGGCATTTTCTATTTCCATTTCCACCCGAGGCATAAATGCCAAAAAAATCGAACGCACAAAAAATCGAACGCACTCTCATTTCAACAAAACGAAAAATTTCATATTTCATTCCGCTATGCCGACATCCTGCATTGGTTTATACTGATGACATGCATCATGCGTCGTATTTCTATGTTTATTTTACGTTTTTATCGCTAATAAATAATTCAAAGTTGAATTATAACCGCACAACCGGTGCTTGTAGCCGATAAAATTAGACTTCTTTTAGTAGATTGGTGCATGCCCATACAAATGCTTTGAGTTTCAGTCCTGTGATCGGCTGACGCTTCTGCTGTCCGCGGGACTCTTAAATCCAATTTAGCCAAAAGGTTCCTTCTTTTGAATTTGCAAATTTATCGTTCACGCATGCATTCAAAGCGCTATCGTTTTGTGGTATAATGCATTAATTAAGGTCACTATAGAAAATATCCTCGTATACTCGGTCCCTAAATACAGTACAGATATACATCAGTTTATTCAATCAGTTTCTACGTTATTTCCATACAGAATTGATACATTACGATGCCAGTTGATCGAAATCGTGTATATAGAGGCTAGCTATATAGAGATAGAAATGACCCGAAAGCTTTTACGGATTACAATAATTTGTTATTGGCATGTCTTAAAGCCTGGTTTTCATTTTGTAATTTTCGTGAGCACGTTATTATCGCCGATGTGGAATAGTCCGGATCTTTAGTCTCTCTTTGGTTGAATGTCCTTGTGAACGACTGCATACACGTAAAGAAATATTAATTTGCGTGACGTGGTCACGACAATTACGACCTTGAATGGAAACCAGGCTTTACGAATGTTCCGTGCAATTACATCAATTTCAGGTGATTGCTGTTATAAATCAGGGTTCGATTGTATGAAAGCCAGATAGCGCTATCCACCGGATAATGTGTTTTTTTTCAATCGCTTTAAAATCATCCGCTGTTTTCTATAACTTGATTAAATCTTAGTATTCCTAAAGATAAAATCTTTGTCGTTTTTCAAGCATTTTCAGAACGGTTGGAAAAATCACTATCCGTTGGATAGCGCTCTATCCAGCCTTGGTACAACCGGCCCCAGGGGTTTATGTATCTATGTTCATGAATGTATCGCCAATGTCGCAAAATGAGCGTATTCGCGCGAGCTGCATGTGTATGTATTAAAGGATGCATGAGGCGAGTAACGTCCCACTTTTAATCGGACCATTACAGCGGTGAAAGATGGGAAAACGTGAATCCTTACAGGAGCTTTAAAAAGCACATACATGCATAGAGCCTTTTTGGCGATCATCGCATTTCAGAGGATTACAGTACACTACATAGCAATAAAGTCACAACATCTGCCTAGTTAGCGATCTCACTTTGTCCTGTGTCTTGCCCTACATTGCATGAATAGCTGAAATAAGGGAAGTAACACACTCTTACCTCGAGATTTTTCGATGCATTTTCTTTATCTTCCATGTCTCCAGTCATCCCAAATAGAGTATCTAAGTTTACGTGTTTGACCACTCTGCCAAATTTCTCTCTCGTAACAGTTGTGTAAATGTCTGAATAATGTGGAGATGCGGTCTTGGGAAGCCATTGTGTGGGCGTTAGGGTATATCGCTAAACCTAGTTAGCCTAAGCCCGTTGTGGTTCGCATACAGAGGAGGTCAAGTTGAAGCTGAAAACAATAATTAAATACAGAGCAGGTCAAGTTGAAGCTGATAACAATAATTAAATTATCCCATGAAGCGCTTTTTTATTTCACTCCTGTCAAAGGTGAATATTCTGGATTTTTGTTACTCGCGATGGCCCCATATTCAATTTCGGTCAGTTGCACGAACTGGAGAAGCATTTATACATTACGTATCCGTGTAGACTATAAAAATCAAAGAACTGATTAGAATGCAACAAGAAGAGAAACAAAATGTTTTTGAACGGCCTGGGATTTTTTACACTGAGCACACTGGATCGATCATAAACGAATTCTCAGTTAGGTAGGAAAGGAAATTGGGTTTTCTCTCTGTGGAAGCACCGAAGCAGTAGCGAAATTTCCTTTTTTCTTTCATTATGTTTTCATTACGGAGATCGCTTCAACAAGGATCTCCCGCGAAAGTAAGCGGGCTATCCAAGGGCGACCTCTACCCTTCAGAAATTCTTACGCTTTACTGGGCGTAGATCTGGCGTCACCCAGATCGTTATTTTCCTTACTCATTAGTTTAAGGCGAAGAACTAATTGCATACAAGGATATTATAAGGATTAAAATTCAGGTAGCGCTTGCGGTGCGTTTAAATGAAGACATCAAAAATGCTACAAAACGGCGAAAAGAAAAATAACTTTGTCAACTAACATGATTTTTTCATTACTATTTGCAATATAGGTAAATGATCGCAATTACATAATAATTACACTAGCACGGACTGTCATTTAAAACGTTTTTTACTACGCATGCGCAGAAAAATATGGCTGACATGAGCGGTGTTTTATAAAAATAATGTTCGGAAAGGAAATTGGGTTTTCTCTCTGTGGAAGAACCAAAGCAGTAGAGAAATTTCCTTTATTTCTTCTATTACGGAGATCGCTTCAACAAGGATCTCCCGCGAAAGTAAGCGGGCTATCCAAGGGCGACCTCTACCCTTCAGAAATTCTTACGCATTACTGGGCGTAGATCTGGCGTCACCCAGATCGTTATTTTCCTTACTCATTAGTTTAAGGCAAAGAACTATTGGTATGCACGGATATTATAACCATTAAAATTTAAGTATGCGCTTGCGGTGCGTTGAATAAAAACATCAAAAACGCTGCAAAACGACTGAAAGAAAAATAACTTTTGCCAACTAAGATGCTTTTTTCATTACTATTTGAAAAATGAGTCAATGATCGCAATTACATAACAATTGCTCAAGCACGGACTGTCATTTAGAACGTATTTTACTACGCATGCGCAAAGGAAAATATAGCTGACTTGAACGATGTTTTATAAAAAATATGTTTGGAGCCAGATTTAAAAACCGTTTTTCGTATTTTCACAACATTAGTAATCCGATAAAGGCGTTCGGACGACATTTCAGGACCGGCAATTTTCAACATTGTAGATCCAACCGGCAAAACAAGCTCACTCGTACCAATCAAAAGGCCATGTCTGATTAGTTGTTGCTAAACAATGTCGTGTACGTGCTCGGATCTTTGTTGGTTTATATTTGCAGATGGTAGACAGTGTGTCCCCCAAAAAAGTGACACTATAGAAATTATCTCAGTATTGTTTTAGTTTGAATGCCTGAGCGCTACGCTGAATCAACAGATTCATAGACATCAGCTTCTTGAATTTTAAATAACTATGATTACAATAAAAGTCCACTTACAATGAAACCATGGCTCAACTGACAAAACGGAGTCTGTAGTATAACACAGTATAAGCGCGTTTAAGAGGTTTAAAAATAACGAGATAATTTCTAGTGTCACTTTTTGGGGACACACTGTATTTCAAAACGAAGAAGTTGTGACGTCAGGAAAACATCGATCTACAGCGTGGGTTTGACGCTTGACGTGTTTGACGTGTTTCATGAGCAAACGAAATTATTTCGACTGACCGTTTCTTAACGTTTTCTTAACGACCGTTTCATAAGCTTGCCCGCAATTTTTATGAAAGTTATGTTGCCCTTAATTTGTTTAGCCAAGCAGTTAACGACAATACTTAAGAACCAATAGCAATAAAACGAATTTATATATATGGGCAGAAGACCCCACAATATTGATACAATGAAGCTTTATATAGGACATGCACACTTCTACTAATTATGGTGCAATGATACTTGCGAATATATCCCACTTCCCGAAATCGCAGTAATAACAGTAAAAAAACGTTCCTTCATAATTCATTTTGAGGCACTCAAGCAGCAACAACCCGGCGTATATTCCATGTCAAGCCATCTAAATGCGACCAGTTCAATGCCTTGATTGCCTCAATCTAAGATAAATGAGAAGTACTGGGCACTAGTATTGAAAATTCGTAGAAAGAATTTCCAGTCTTTACAGAATGCTGGGAAACCTTTCGGCAAACCAGACTATCGTTTCTTTGCCATGCACTACGGCACATATTTTCATTCAAACGTATGAAAACTTCATTCAAGTCTTATTTCCAGTCCTCTTTCAACTGGCACCACATCCAACAAAATGGAACTGAACTAGACAACCCGCTTCACCACTTATACACCTGTTTAAAAAACGGGCTATTGCTATTTCGATAAAGAATAAAGCGAATAATGAAATACTGATCAAAGCATAATATACCAACAATGATCATGCACATCGTGCGCTTCAAAAAGAATGATATTGATTTTAATTTTTTGCATATCCGTTTATTCTCTGCGTTTATTGTTTTACGAATACTCTGATTAGGCATAAACGGAAAACCAAATGCGAAGCCTTTATGTGAAAGTAGCTACGCATACCCAAGGATACACATAAAATAGTAATTTTTCTGTCAAATACCAAAAAAATGTCGAAGTCACGTCGAAAGATGACGCGAGCCATGCGAAGGGAAGCTGACGAGAGGCGAAAAACATGGGACGAAGGAAACGGAGAGCCATCGCATCGTTATTCATGGCAGGAACAAGTCGAACGAGGTACGGTTATAGGCGATAGGCATGGCGATATCATAGCGCATGGTAAAATTTATCTTCCTCTACCTAGTTGCCCGTCTCTTTCGTTTTGCTAACATGCACTTCTCTAAAACGCCTTTATATTAGACATAATTTCATCGCGAAATAGTCAAAAGGCAGTTATAATAATGAAGCATGAGAGGATTAACGAACTTATATATATATATATATATTTATATATATATATATATATATATATATATATATATATATAAAGCAGGATTGTCATCGATTTGCACGCCCGAGGTTTCTACGAAGCTGGGAAATCTCATGCTTATAGATAATCGATTTCAACCAGAAAGATCACACAATTTGAATAACAATGGCACTAACATTAGTAACATATACTATAGCTGACCCGTATGTATACGTACTATTTGTGAAACAATTTCTATTACGATATTACGCCAATCTTCTCGATCAGTATTATACCAATCCAAATTAAATTCTCGGTATTCCTATATAATCGGTTGACGAATCGCAAATTGTAAACTGAATTTCAGTAATTTCCTGCCTGCCTATCATTATAACAGCTCTTTCATCTCAATTAAATCTAGAACGTTCGATCACTTCGATGACATAACGCTGGTACATGCACGAAGTCTAGGTATAAGGACAAAAACTACCACCACGTTAGTTGAAAAAACATGATGTTGGTATCAGTCAAAACGCAAGATTCTATACACCAAATGTACCCAAGCCTGCCATCTCCGCCCGCGATGTCGCTAGAAACGTCTCCGTTAGCATATATATGTGTTCGTTATACGGCACAATACATAAGCGGCATAGTATATCAGACTTTATTAGTATGTTTCAATAGATCTTACCCAGATAACCATTTAAGACCTGCATTATTTAAATAATGAAGCAATTAGCAATGATTCTAGCAAAGCATCATGGTCTCATTAGTCCAATAATTATACTTTATAAGTTATAACCACAGTGTTTGCTCGGGAATTTCTAGCGCAAAGCAACTTAATTTGTACTTTGTAGCCATTTGTTCTACGTTAAAGGCAGTAGCTACTAAAATGAATTTAATGACATAGCTACTGAGGCGATTCTGGTAAGAGTTAAATTAAACCAGGCAGACATCCTAAATGATCTGTTTGCTCTTTCAGAACCAATATAATTAATACCCCTGTATTATGTAGTTCCCAGCGAAGTTAATCGAGGCTGTGTTCAGACTGTATAGAGTATAATTGCTGCATTGTATAACACAGTTATTGCTGATTGCAGTATAATACAGTACGGATTTTTAGGTTACTATCGGACTGGCAATATGGCGTCACCTATTCTGCCGGTATAAACGTTCGCTCGTATACCATTTATTACTTCAAATCGTCCATTCAAACCGCTTAACTCGAATTAAACTCGGATGCTAGTTGTTAAATAGAATCGAAGGAGTTTAAATATCGTTCAATATCACAATATTTACTAGTTATATTACTGTACTTCTTCTCCACTGAATTATAATAATATGAATTATAACTGAAAATAGAAATAATGAAACGAAACCTACAATTCAAAGTTCTCCTAAGATTTAAATTTAAAATTGCATTTCGAATGCACAACTCAAGTGCAAAATGCCACTGACAGCAATTAAAATTGTTTAGCGTCTGTCTTTTGTGGAACAGCCTTTAAAATCAAATTTGTAGGTGTTAACGTTCAAGAAAAGTGGCCTATTTTGCATACGATATAAAACGTAATTATAATTGCAAAACGGGTAGAAATTCGATACTTTAATATATGTAACGATATAACTGCCTGTAGACAATAACGAATACAGCATTAACAAGAGCCGGGCGTATTTGTTCAGTTCATAGACTTGGCACTTTCCTAATTCACTTTATACTACAAGTAAATCTTGTGGCAAAACAACGACAACGTGGTGCAATTTCGTGCAAAGCAATGTAATTTCTATAGCTGCATGTTCAGCAGCCATTACTGCATGTTGCAGGCATTAAAAACTGCATGCGTGAATTTACATACGAAGCCTAAACTTATACGAATAATATTATTAAATTATTTAGAGCAATAAGTGAAGTTTGTTAAGTTTGTTATTGGTCAGTCTGTATACATGAATTGGTTATCATAGTGGAATTTTGATCAGGAGATTTGTTTTCGCGATACTGAAAGGATTTGCGGAGTTAACCTTGAGCTGACCCGCGCCTGCGTGTATACAGAGCAACCTCGTTCCCAGACGCAGGTGCCAAGCATTTATACACATTAGCTTTCCAGCGCCGCCTCTTCATACAACAACACGATTTGCATTTATGATTCCTATCACTTTAAATCGCAAGCACTCATGTGAAACTAGAATGCATTGAATTCGCCAGCAGTTGGTCTGAAAAGGCGACTGCGTGAAATATATACGCTCATTCCGTGGTATTTCGTCTAAAATCTAGAGTTTCAATACCGCGACTCGAGAGACAAGAAGCGTCTGCGCGACTCTCACTACGACACACATCTTTACGACGAAGGCGAGATGAGACAGGGCTCAGTCAATGCCCATATCAGCGTCGCGGACGGGCCGAACCAAGGCGACTGGGTGAATCTTCAGAAGACAACATTTACGAACTGGGCACGCGAAAACATTCGAAGAGCCTATCCCGATGAAACTATCGACGACTTGGCCACAACTTTCGAGGACGGCGTCCGTTTGATAAAACTTGTCGAGGTCGTCTCAGGCAAGAAGGCTGGAAGGTACAAATCCAATCCTAAAGTGTTCTCGCAGAAGTTGGACAATATCAAAATGGCCTTAGATGTCCTCGTCTACGATGGAATTAAATTGGTCAATATAGGTAAGTTTCAGCTTTACACGTATCAAAGGCCTTGCTTAAACAAGAGTAAACAAAATATTTGCTATGTAATTTGATATTGTACATGCCAATTTGACAATACACACTGAAATGAATTGCCACGTTTGATGTGCCTTGTCATACAATATTGCAACGCCAATGCCAATGGTTTTAAAATAATACCCTGTCGGTGACACTCAATGTACAAAAGGGCTCTGTACATATAAACAGTAAGACTTAAGTGTGGTGTATTCGCATGCATGCATGTATGTAGTATTTGGCTTGTAGGCCAGCCTATATATATATATGAATTTGTGACCGTCTGACCGCGGTACGTGCATGTTACAACACGTATTAGATGATTAAGAGTCTTTAGTCGGTTTTGCCTAATTAACATCGCCTGGAAAACAATGCTATTCTACTGCATATAGATATATAAGCCGAATTTAATGCACTTACCTGTGGTTTGTGGCTGGACCACAAGTCTTAAAGCTGAGACATCCACACTTTACTTAAGCTTAACTCTAGGGTTTAAGTCGAGATTGTATCACAATATGTCCCTGCATATGAATTGTTACACAGTTTTTGTTTTGATGATGTAGCTACTTGAACTTGAAACTGTCTCCTTGGTTTTGATGGCTAATTTTATCCGAACAGGAAATTTAAGGAAATTGTAAACTATGCAGAAAACACTCGCTATCGTGAATGCTCGCCACTGCTTGGGTAGTTGGGGTGTATGCCAAGATATTTCTTATTTAAAGGCTTCAGTCAAGCCTGCGATAAAAATGTCACGAAAAATTCCTCATGCTCGTTCCGAAAAGCAAATTAAAAGGCACAACAGCTTTCTTCGACCCTAGCTATCAATATACTGGCGTATTTGTTCAACGGTATAGAGAAAATATTATTTTAAATTCTTTCGTACAATTATATAAGCCCAAATATCTTGTGCTAAACTGGTCCATGTCACGGCAGGGGTTTCATACTTGGCATTTGGACGAGTTAATTTTGCTTTCCATAAAATTTTAATTTGTTTTTCGCCTAATATTGGGCCTTTTAATTTAATTTCTCTCGTAAAATCTTCGTTCATTATAAGATATAACAACTAATGTACGAAGGGACGGACGAGTAGCTAAACCTACGCGGTTTGATGTGGTTTCAGTATAAAAAAATCGATGTTCTAATATTTTAATAGCTTCGTTTATTGAGCGTAGGAGGGCTTTGGAATGTCGACCGAATGATTTGTTTTGACCTTCCAGAATTGTCTTAACTCGTTTGTCATGTATACCGATTTTAGGTCGAATGTTTTTGTACCAACCAATGCCATCGCTGACGTGCAAATAAATCAAATTACTCGCAATACGTAGCAATTAACTTAAACTCTTCCCAAAGGTTTTCACCCTGAAAAGAAATTAGAAAAACCCTTGCAGCCGCAGGTGTTGGACAAATGAGCCAACGCAAAATTTTGTTCTAGAATCTAGTTGCTTAACTCTGCTAATTTCTGTTCTGAATAACGCTCATCTCAGGAGCCTATAAAATGGTAGGAAAATATAGTTTCTACCTAACAAAAAAGGACCGAACACAACTATGTAAAAGCGTTTGAAAATTAAAGGTGATCCCTTTGTCCTTGAAATATTTTATCCGCCTAAATCACTTTCAGCGTGTTGCCGACATTTTTCTCGAACAACTTTTTTCGGCATCTAAGAGGCATTTCTCTGTGCTTTTCTCAAAACAAATTTCAGAGTTTTAAATACGTCATACGATAGTAAAGAAATTACGTATCCAGTGCATGAGCTGATTAAGAAGCGTGGTACAAAGTCGGTCATATACATTTTGCAAAATATTGCACGGTTAATTGTTTATGTAGGCTGGAGTAAGTATATATAAACGTCCTTTACCTCGGTGTCTTTGAGTCTATAACAGAAACGATTAATAATAACAAAATCAAATTAACCGAGATGAGTGCCGTGATATAAGCCATTTTCGGAGCAATAATTTTTATCAAAGCAACAATAGCAAATGTTCTTGTGATTAGATAAGATTCTTTCAATCTCTTGTAAGTTCCCATAAACGTTCTTTCGACTGATAAGCACATCACTGTTTAGAATTTGTGAGCTTTCGGTTAATAATTGCATGTTTACATCCATAATAACATTGCAGAAAGGATACATGGACTGGTTGCCCTTACACCAAGGAAATGGAAATCTATTTTTCGATTAGAAATACAGCCCTTTATATCTCGTCCTCAACTTTATTCAATTTCGCTTCCGAATTTATCGTACATATATTAGGGGGGCATAACTTGGAAACGCTTTTATATTATTGCTTGTTCGAACTTGTTGGCAGGACCGGAAACAAAAAATTGCAATGGAAATTATGCTGGAAGTTGTGCAAAGTTTGTTTCCGGGTTAAACCAGGTTACTGAAGCGAAAATAGTACGCAATAGATTGGGAAATGCTGTCACGATCTTTTTGAAATAGCTTTGAACTTACCACAATTTTGTATCTTACCAAAACAGTTTATTAGGTAATGGTCCTGATAAAGCAATTTTGTGAGAGGGCTCTAACGATTATATATATAGAGAGGGAGAAAAAGTTCAGTTATGTTGATAGTTCTATGTAAGGTTCCCGGCCGTTATTCACGGTCATCCGTGTTTCCATATTAACCAACATGCTATCTCGTATTTAGGACCTGAAGACGTACACAGTGGCAACCTGAAGTTGATCCTTGGTCTCATTTGGCGAATGATCTTACATTACCAGATCAGTAGCAGTTCAAACGTCTCCGGAAAGCTCCTGTTGATCACGTGGTTGCAAGCAGCTGCCCCTGACGTGGAAATCAAGAATTTGACCTCCGACTGGAACGACGGGCGAGCATTCGCAGGTCTCATGGAATTCCTAGAGCCTGGCACCTACCCCGACTACAAAAACCTAAGGGTTTCGGATAATAAAGAAACCGTAACCAGATGCATGAATATGGCAGAAGAGAAATATGGTATCCCGCAAGTTATTTCCCCAGAAATGGTCGTGAGCCAGTTCCAGGATGAACTTAGTATGATGACGTATTTGTCATACTTTACCCAAGTCGGCTCTCCTGGCGAAAAAGCCACGTTACGATTCGTCAATGACTCTTCTCCAAACCTTCGCGTGACCAATTTCAACACGGACTGGTCGAACGGCGTCAACCTGGTGAGATTCTCGGAGAGCGTTTGCCCCGGAATAATCCCTAACTACGAGGAAGCGCTTGAAAAGCAGTCACCTGCCGAAAATGTCGACATGTGTTTTGATGCTGTTGAACGCAATGTCAATATTAAAAGAACGATGAACACCAAAGACGTTGTATCAGGGAATATTGATGAGTTGAGCTTGATGGCCTATGTCCTGCAATTCCGTGGCGTGAAGGTGCAGGATAACTCGAATCAATTCAAGGTCGATGGGCCTGCCTTACGAAATGGAATGGTAGGAAATACAGCTGAATTTGACGTTGTCGCCAACCGTGGAATGACCTTCGAAAACTTGCAAGTCTCCGTTGAAAGTCCCAGTGGTAATAAAGTTCCGGTGACATGCGAGGAGACCGGAGTTGGTTTGCACTGCTCGTATCTACCAACGGAAAGCGGCACCCACGTGATCAGTGTACGCCATCTTAACAATCACGTACCGCTCAGTCCGTTCCGCACAGCTATACGAGAAGATGTTTCGGAAGTTGCGATTTCAGGTGCCGGATTAAAGGTTTGTGTCCTCGCTATCAATTAAACCACGTTTGGCGCAAAAAGTACGAGTAGAAGATGCTGTGACACCCCTAGTTGCTCTTCAAAACACGAAATATGTTTGAATATGATATGACGTTGCATTGGAAACACTTAGCTTACCTCAATCTATACTCCAGGGGCCGGTTGTTCGAAAGGCGTTTAGCTTAAACGGCGGATAAGTTCAAAATGGAAAACAAAAATTATCTATTTATTCAGAACCACTGAGCTGAAATATTTAGACAAAATACTTCTCAATTTACATTCTTATTTTAGGCGGTTGTTATACCACATTTGATGCTAAGTTGTTTGAAGACGCTGCCACGCTGCTCCCTGATTATATTGAAATATTTAGATGTAAATAGTTTAATTTTTAATGGAAGTACATATTACATAAGATGCAGGTTCAGTCATTCGCAAGGTCTATGAGAGCACTTTTAAACTTTGGCTTATCCACCGTTTAAGCTGAACGCCTTTCGAACAACCGGGCCCAGATATACACCAGTTGCATACTCAAACCGCTTCTTCCTTCCATATTTCTTCAATTTTATTTTATCTTAGTATTATCTGATTGGCCGCTACCGCCCTTCCCATCAGCACCGATTGCTTTCGTTGTTATCAATGCACTTCATTGATGACGAATAAGTGAGAATTGTTAGCGATTGTAATGTGGGATTTTTATTTTACACAGAGTGCGGTTTACAGGGACAAAACAGAGTTTCAGGTATCGTCTTCTGGCTCGCACACCGCGCCTCTAGCGGTTGCCGTCCATGGTCCAACGTCAACCATTCCAGCGGAGATAAACGAAGCGAATGGAAAGTACGAGGTGTCATTCGTCCCTACCGAAGTCGGTGAACATAGCGTCGACGTCCGTTTTGGAGACACTTTGGTTCCGGGGAGTCCATTCAAGGTTATGGTCGGCGATCCGAAACGTGTCGTAGTTCCAGAAAGAGGTTGGTAGTAATCAGGTGTTTGTACCGGGCAAATAAGGTCTATTTTAGGTTACCAGATGAATAGGACGGGTGATTAGACTTTAGTTGCCCCTTAACTGCTGCTATTAACTTGACAGGGTGTTGATTTGGCACGCCTATTGTCTGAATCTGTGAATCAGGTAGTGATTAGTGTTTGCTGCGAGTTGTCGATTTTTGTTGCCGAGTCGTCGGTTGTACGGTTGTTTTGTTATGACGCTTGCCTACTTAAATTCGTAATAATTTACAAGAAAATCAAGGGAAATAACCTACCACGGTAGCTCAGGTACACTGCAAAAAAATGTATAGCATGTATAGGTGGGAGGAAACTTTCTTATGGGCTATTTTACAAAAATCAGCGAAAGTAATTATTTTAAGAACCCGAACACACGATTTTTGCGTTTATGCATGTGTAATACAACAAAGGTATATTTCGTATCTACCGACGACGTTTTGCAAAACAGCGCAAGCTTGACAGTGTAATCGTGAGGTTTATTTTCATCTTATTAGATTACCTCATGTATGTATATGTAGCTATTCTGCCACCACTTTATATAGCAACTGAAAGCTATTTAGAAAGCGATCTCAATATCATTTAAAGTAACATGGAGTAAATATTTTCGTTTTTAGAGGCAATGGAACAAGGCTTCCTGAACAAGCCTGTCGAGTTTAACGTCGACACATCCAATGCTGGTCGTGGAACGTTGACCGCATCTGGTCGAGGGCCGAATGACAAGGTGAACGTTAACATTCATGAAATCGGCGACACTCTTTACAAAGTTTCATTTTTGCCCTCAGAAGCTGGCGAATACACTATTCAAGTATATTACAACGGCAAAGAAATCGGCAGTAGCCCATTTACAACCACAATTGCTGATCCTGGAAAAGCTGTTGCCCACGGCGAAGGTAAATAACAGCCAGATTAATAAGGGTGGTCGTTACTATTTTCAGCAGCTTTTATACCACATTTGATGCGAGAAGACGCAAGAAAACGATGCCACGCTGTTTTTAGTCATATTAGAACTTAACGTTTGATTAGTGTTTTTGAGTAGTGGTGAGAGTCTAGAAACCCTGCTTCGACGAATTATGAAACATTTTAAAAAAGTCGAAGTTTACAGTAGAAGCTACCAAGTGCTTTGGTGCATGCATATGATTGGATTTAGTACTCTCACTCTTTTAAACAGATTGAAGTACTCTTTGTACAACTCGCGCCTAATTTAATAATCATTGATGCAAAGTTTCCAGCCACATTTACTTCCACGTTTTAGATATGCAAATTGTCTTTTTTGTCTCTCCCATTTTAGGTCTTTACCAAGTTCGTCTTCACGAACGAGAAGAATTCCTCGTCAGCCTTCACGGTGCTGGAAAAGGCCAATTGGAGATCGCGGCTGTTTCACCCTCCGGCGAGACTGTCCCTGTTGACTTGCAATTGTCCGACTCGGAGCCAGATACGTACGTCGTCAATTACACGCCGATGGAAATTGGCGATCATAAGATTTACGTGAAGTTTGCAGGCATCAACGTCCGCGGCAGTCCTTTCATCGTAAAAGTTGCAGATCCCAGCAAGGTGTTGATACAAATGTCGAGCCTGACCGAGGCCCAAAATGCCATGGTCGTCGACAAGGAGGTGGTAATCCCACTGGAAGTCCTACCAGGTGCTGGCGAGGGAGAGCTCGAGGCTGAGATCGCTGGACCAGGGGATGTGGCAGTGGAGTCCAGCTTCACCCGACAGTCAGATACCTTGTACCATTTCCGATTTATTCCGCCGGTGTCTGGAGAGTACATCATCAAGATGTTCTATGGTGGTGGTCTGGTCGGTGGTCATGCATTGAATGCCTTCGTTAAAGATGCATATGTGAGAGCGGATGCATCAAAATGCGTCGTTTACGGTGAAGGAATCAAAGAAAGTAAGTATTGTTTGGGTATTGGAAAACATTCCGTGCTTCCCAAGTGTTTTTTGTTGTTGGGAAAACACTACCTCTTAGCGTTTTCCATCTTGAAAAATATGCGAAACATAAGCAAAAATGTTTTGAAAACAATATTTCCTAGTTTAACGAGAATTCGTAAATGTCAGGAACTTAGTTTTCTATAGGTTAGTTGTGTGGTGTATTGGCATGAAACAAAGGTCTCTACGGAAAGAATAAATTTTTCTTACACAGGAAGTAAGGTCTTATAAGGGCTTTTTTAACTATCCTAGGCAAAGTAGACGAACGTGGCGAATTCAATATCGACTGTCGTGATGCAGGGGAAGGGGTGATCACGGCAAAACTTCAAGGAGTCAAATATACGACGGACGTCGAAGTTGAGAACAAATACGACGGCACATACGACTGCCATTACCTCGTGCCCATTCCTGGCGCGTACGTGCTGCACGTGCTGTTCGATGGCGAGAACGTCCCTGGTAGTCCTTTCAAAGTAAATATAACTGGTCATTCTGAAGTCTCGCAGTGTATCGTGCGTGGTGATGCTCTCACTAAAGGAGGCTGGGTTGGTCGACCAATGGTCTTCTCTGTAGTGTCTGGATCCTCAGGCTCCGGGCTGTTGGTCGTCCGATGTCAGGGTCCAAGTAGGGATTGCGACGTAGCAGCCTACGATAATAAGGACGGTACATACAGTGTGGAGATTTATCCAACAGAAACAGGTATGTTGGTGGTACATCGCTAACTTTTTAGCGCCACTTTTTCGTCCAGCACACCCATATGGTTATCTTTTTTGCTAAGTTATGAATTTTTGCCTATCAAGGCTTCGTCTCTTTGAATATGCCACCTTTGGATTACAGGTCGACATCTAATTTACGTGGAATGGGGAGGGAAACCTGTGGAAGGCAGCCCATTTGTGGTGAAAGTGACCATGCCACCAGACGCAAGCAAGGTCGTAGCTCACGGCACGGGTCTTGAACATGGCGTCGTTAATGACTACGAGGGGAAATTCATGGTGGAGACAAAGGGAGCCGGGGCCGGCACGCTCAAGATCAAAATTCATGGGCCAAAAGGGGCGTTCAAGGTGGAAATGTTCCGGGAAAACACCAAGGACAGGAACATCGGTGTCCGATATAACCCGACGGAACCTGGTCGGTACGATATCAGCGTAAAGTGGGCGGAGGAACATGTGCCTGGCAGTCCTTATACTGTGTACGTGGGGGCGAACGATGAAGATTTAAGACGGCTCTCTGGTAACCAACCAAATGGATACAATGGTTATGCTGATAACATCTAAATGATTCAACCTAGAAAAACGTTTATTTATTTCTTGTTCCAATATGTGGACGGCGCTGGAATACGCAATATCAAAATTTCTAGCAGAGTTTGGTAGTATCGTAAACGTGAACTTTTAAATAACCGATTAGATAGTTGTGTGAAGCGAACTGTTATATATAATCTCAAAGAATGCACTAACTCGTATATTTATTAGAATTTAGAACATTTAAATCAGGTAAAACGATCGAATACATTCCATACACGATGTTCTACATTTTCTTTGATGAAGTTTGTTAAGATCGAATATTTAGGTACAAGCTTAGCTACAAATATATATTTGCATGATTCGGCTACTTCACGTGGAAATGGTGGTTTAAATTTCGGCTCATTGCAAAATATTTATGCTAAACTTTGTACCAAATGTGCGTATATTGTCAAATGAAGCGTATAGTTTTTCAAATTAGATGTAAATGAAATAAAGATAAAACTTGCCTCTTGCCATCTGTCGTTTACTGCTCCGTGAAAATGTATAGCGTGTCGCAACAATATGCGGACCGTGATGTGTGCTATAAGCGTGCGATTTTAGATTTAGTCTTGCAGGTTACGTCATGGTACATGTTCGAGGCCCTTTGCCATTTTCGGTGGCAAATTAAAATGAAGTTAAAATGCAGCTGTGACGCGGCCTACAATGATTGGTTGAGAAAAAATATTTTGATGTCGTGATTGGTCAAGAAAAACCTGTCGGAGAACTAACTACCTGTGGGAAATAGGACTGTTGACTGTCTTTCCATTCGGCTGTACGTTTGAGTACTCGTTCCAGTCCCACTTTCAGGCGATTTAGGCTGCGCAGCCAACTTGTCGTATGGCACAAAAACCTGTCTTATATTATGTTGCATGACGTCGTATGCATGACGGCCTGAGCTGTCGACATCACCCCACGCGTTTCGAAGCCAATCAACAGCCAATGGTCGAAATGATTGAAGTTTGTCGTACCACGAGATTCGAGAAGGCCGGGTATTTACGTAATCATTCCCAAAATTCACGACTCCACGCGAGCTCGAAGCTGAATCCCCTTCGCTTGTCATGTTTTGGTATGTAGATGTCGAACTAGTTACTTGCAGCGCACTCGATCGTTCTTCTGACAGGCTGTTCATCTCAAGCTGTCGAGGGTTGCGGGAGTGTGAAAAATGAAGAAGGGCGTAATACAAAGATCCTAACGAAAGATACGGAATACTTTGAACAGATTGGTTCCTCGCAGCATAAATGCATGCAAAATTGCTAATGTCGTACCTATAATCTACTATTTTAATTAATTTGGCTTTGTGCCTCGAGTGTCGGAGTGTGTAGGAAGTTGAAGCATATATGCCCGCTTGATGCATAGAAGAAGATTTAAAAAATCTTCAGCGAACAAGCTTTTATCAGGTGCAGTTATACTATGCAATTTGTCATATTATAAACCTCTGTGGGAATTGCCAGGCGTAACAAATGGCACAATACACGCAGTTTATTGGTACCTGAATCAATCTCATCCGTACAGGCTTTGTATTGGTAGGCTAGAAACATTCACAATAGAATCATTTGCGATACGGTTTTTATGCACGCTATTACGTCATAACCTGCGTTAAATATTCATATCCCACGTTTGGCGTCACACCAATGGCGAAGGCATCAACGTTCCAAGGGAGCGAATTTGAAACTAACATAAACGCGAGCAAATAACGTTTTCATTATTTTAGGGTACCCTGTACATAATTAGAATTATCAAGCCTCAGTCTGTCCTTATTAACCTGTCCGCATCGCTTGATAATAATTCTTGATGTTATGTTGAACCCATTGAACCTCTTTAATAATCAGGTAATTATCGTACAGGTAACCTGGTCTAAGAATATTGAGCTAGGACAATGTTGAACCTGGCGGAAAGGACTGTAAATACTACAACAGAGAAAAAAAATGACTCGGATCTTACCTCTATTTTGACTTTTTCGAAAAGCAAAAATGAAAATTGTAACAGCTACGACGAACATGATAGCAACACCAACGATAAGGCCAATCACTTCGGAGTCGACGGTGTCTGAAGTATATAATAGAAACAAGAAATGGTTTATTTTTGAGTTAAATCACCAATTTAAATGAAACCTAACTCATATTTATATGTCTTCCAGCTCTAGGGATATATTTGCACCTGCCTCTGAACAAACGATAGGTATATAGTCTACAATGCAAGGGGTCCGCCATTTTCATTAATGACAACCCCCTAAATAGTGCGTCTAATCTAGCCAGCTTGTTTCTGTTTTAACATCTATACAATATAGTTGTTGCAAGGAAATTTCCACTTCAAGCTCTTCATATAGTGAGCTAAAGCGTTCGTTGCAAACGTTACCTGGACAGGGTTTCTCTTCACATGATCTATTTTCTGTAGCTAACCCTCTTTTATCACAGTTCCCGCCATATTTTCCCGGAGGATTATCACATTTCCGTATCCATATTTCTACACCATTACCACAAGTGACGCTACAAGGAAACGCCTTTGTCCAGTTACTGTAATTACCGTCAACTGTAAAATGGAACATGTGATATTTACGGCAGTATATAATATGCAGTCTGACGCTGCAAAAGCACAACATCCTGTACGAATTTTCAACTTACTAACTTGCCTGGCATAAAATATCGTTCGTCTGGGTGGAACTTTACCTTGCACTAGTTATGTTTATTTCAGGCTTACCTGGGCATGGTTTTCTGCTACATTTTCTAATCTCAGTCGGGTTCCCGATCCCACCGCATCCACGGCCGTGGTATTTAGGTTCTGGATTGTCACAAGTACGTCGCCATATTTCCACTCCCTCTCCGCATGAAGCACTGCATCGAATACTCAAATTCCATTTGCTATAACCGCCGTTAACTATATACAAATACAAAAAATGCCGTTGCGGAATAAAAAATTAGGCTCTGTTAATCTGCAGAAGATTAAAGCGACCCTCTGATCTACTGTCCCAGCGTGCTTTTGTTGTTGCTTATCTACAACTTCATCGTACCTGGGCAGTATTTTGTCCAACATGGTCTGTATTCAACCGGCTCTCCTAAATGACTGCAGTTTCGTCCACCATATTTTGGCCTTGGGTTATCACAATTTCGTGTCCAAGTTTCAAAACCACGACCGCAGGTCGCATTGCAGGCGCTTTTCATTGACCAGTTGCCATAACTACCAGCAACTGAAACAAAGTCAAAGAGAGCTTCCTTTATCAGTATACATGCATGAACCTCTCGCTAATTCAAACCATAGTTCAAACCAAGCAAAGAATTTCCTGAGTTAGCCAGAGCAAGGCTTATATCATGAAACATAATGTCGTAATCTTATGTATTTACGGCCAGTGTTACGAAACAACTCACATGAGTCGATAGCTAATATTTCTAATTTTCTATCATTCGGGAGAAACATTTTTGTCGCTCAATTAGATTGCAGAGTGGAAGTAACATCAGCTGGTTACAGAATGGAAAAAACTTTACAACTCTTGGGTTGTAAGTATTATTTTCCTAAATCTATAGAAATATTATTAATACATAGATGCTTGAAAATATGGAATTTATTTCAAGTGTTAAGAATGTTTTCGAGTGAGCGCAGCAAACGAGTTAAATTATTATATAATCAAAAAACAGATGACAACCGTGAAATTTAAAAAATCTTATTTAAACCTCCTTCTTGATTGGTGGATCAAACACGATAAAAGCACGTTTTTTGACAATTCATTTATTATTTGTATATCACAGCTGCAAACACGCCAGCGTATTGTTTATAGCCGATATCTACACCCAAACTCATTCACTACAATTACCTGATGTACATTTAGGGATATCACAGTACTCCCATCTCTTCTTCCTATCGATAGTAAAACACCAAGGTCGTCTTCCCGAGTTTCTAGGGTTGCGACAATAGTTCTTAGCCTGATTTAATTCTGGATATGTTGTGTTCATCGTGTGACGATGTGGACATTGCTCTGTCCATGACTGGCATGGAATGCCTGAGTCTGTTACTGATATATTCCCATGGTAACTGCTGCCATTTAGATAAAGACAATCTGTATAAAAACAAAGGAAAAGAAATAACTGGAAAGTACGACGCCCATACGTGTGAGTAGGTTGACACTATAAAAGGCCAAGGTTTGCGTCTTTTATACAATTGCAACAGTGTTTTATTCGAGTTCGCGAACCGATGCGAAAACTTTCTGCGCACAAAAGCCTGGCAAAACGATACGAATTCATGTTCAGTAAAGCTGCTGTTTAATACTTTTTAGCCCTTTCGCTTTGGGAATTTGATGCAATATAATCCCGTGAAAGGAAATATGCTTCGAGCTTAAGTTTTGCGAAGTAGTCACTACTTAGTATAGTGTAGTCGAGTAATCGAGTTTTCATTGGTTCACTATTTTACCAAACTTACACTTAATTCCTTCTTTAATTGTACTTAGATTCGCTAATACAAATTTCATTTGATCATGACGGCGCATAATTTTATACATACCTGTGCCGTTCAGCCATTTACGTGCAGATGTATCATCTATAAAAATTAGCAAATATGCAGTTTTATTATATGGATTTTACTGGGAAATAAAACATTCGTAGAACCACCTCATACGCCACTACATTCGAGGTACAGTACATGCGGATATTTTCCGTATGTCACGTCTAGGAGTGACATAAAGAGTTTCAAAATTATCCGGCCATTTTATTGTTGTTGTTGTGAAAATACAAAATGGCTTTTGGTTCGTATATAAAACGAAATTAACTTAGGAAATACAAACGAAGACACTTAAAGACGTCCTTAGATAGGTAAAACTTATTCTAATAATATTGTTTAGGTTATAATTTAAAAAATATTCGCTTTTATAATGGTCTTCCGTGGCTGATTTACTTGTCGTCTTTGTGTGTATTTTTGTCACTCATAATTTAGTCGTCCATATCGTGAGATATTGTTTTTGCCAATCGAACATAAAATCCATATCTACTCACAACTGTGTGAGTATCCTACTAGAAATACATGCATGCAGCAACCCCTCGGCCTCGCCATTTCAAACGAAGCGAAATATTACCTCAGTGACAGTGAGCTATCCAAACCTAACTTTCTAAGCTAATATTATGAAATGACTTGATAGCTGATGTTTGCGGCAAATTACGTCGCATAAAGTTATTCACGGCTTAAGTGTGAGTAATACATTGCTATTATTGCTAAACCTTCAAAACATCAAAACAGCAGAAATAATTTGAATAACTCATGCAAGCACTAAACGTCGAATGTAGTTTTTGGATTATTGAATTTAAAGTACACTTTAAGAACTCTTTTTAAAGTAAATGGATGATGGTTAGCCGGTTAGCTCTTCGTAAAACGACATACCAAGCTCATACTTATGAAAATAATAATGCATTCTTACAACATACACGACTGAATAAACCTACCACATACCTACCACTTCAAGGAAACCACGAGTCGTTCCTATT